TTTTTTTTTTTCCTTTTTAGAGACAGAGTCTCACTTTGTTGCCCTGGGTAGAGTGCTGTGGCATCACAGCTCATAGCAACCTCCAGCTCTTGGGCTTAGGCAATCTCTTGCCTCAGCCTCCCAAGTAGTTGGGACTATAGGCGCCCTGCTATTTTTTTGTTGCAGTTTGGCTGGGGCCAGGTTTAAGCCCACCACCCTCGGTATATGGGGCTGGCGCCCTACTCACTGAGCCACAGGTGCTGCCCTATTTTCGTTTTTTTTAGACAGAGTCTTACTCTGTTGCCCAGGGTAGAGTGCTGTGGCATCAACCTGGCTCACAGTAACCTCAAACTCCTGAATTCAAGTGATCCTCCTATCTCAGCTTCCCAAGCAATTGGGGCTACAGGTGACCACCACAATGCCTGGCTATTTTTCTATTTTTTGTAGAGATAGGGTCTTGCTCTTGGTCAGGCTGGTCTCTAACTGCTAAGCTCAAAGGATACTTCTGCCTTGGACTCCTAGAGCGCTAGGATTATAGGTGTAAGCCACTGTGCCTGGCCAAATTGAGTTTAATGAAAGAAATTAGATCTATAACATGTAGCAAGGTGGATAAAAATCCTTTTTATTATGTAGAATCTGTTTTCTGAGAAGTAAAGTTGTTGTTGAGTTGATGTTGCCTATATGTAAAAATTCCATTCAGGGAGTTGAACTGGTACATATGAAAACAATCTCAAACAAGGGAAGAAAAACTGGATTATTTTCTCATCTGTAATGTTGATATGCCCCAAAGCATTGGGCAAATGATTTAAAATTTTGCCTTAGTTTCCCAGTATTGGTAATTAAAATTGTAGGTTATTATTAATAATACATAATAGACCAGGTACAGTGGCTGTAATTCCATTGCTTTGAGAAGCCAAGGTAGGAGGATTGCTTGAGGCCAGGCAACATAACAAGACCTTGTCTCTACAGTAATTTTTTTGGTTTATTTGTTTCGTCTGTTGCCCCAAGCTAGAATGCACTGCTGCCATCCCTCACAGCAAACTCAAACCCCTGGGCTTGCTCAAGCAATCCTCTTGCATCAGCCTCCCCAGTAGCTGGGTCTACAGGTGTGCACCACTATGCCTGGCTAGGTGTTTTTCTATTTTTTAGTAGAGATAATGTCTCGCTCTTGCTTGGGTTGGTCTTGAACTCCTGAGCTCAAGCAATTCACCCACCTTGGCCTCTCAAAGTACTAAGATTACAGAAGTAAGTCACTGCCTCCTCTACAATAAATATTTTAAATGTTACCTAGGTATGGTGGTACATACCTGTAGTCCTGGCTACTTAGGAGCCTGAGCCGGAGGATAGCCTGAGCCCAGCAGTTTGAGGCCACAGTAAGCTATGATAATTCCACTGCACTGTAGCCTGGGCAACGGAGCAAGACCCTATCTCTAAAAAATAATAATGATAATTAATAATAAAAATAAAGAAGCAAGCATCTAATAGCTAACTTTCTGTACCAGTGCCTCACTAATGTACCTTGAACAAATCATTACCTTCTCTTACATGTCAAATTTTTTATTTTGGGTAAAATAATGGATATACAAACTACATTCTTGTTACTAGATTTAGTATATCTATCTAGTACAGTTTATAACTATTAATGTGCATATTATACTACCTTAAGGAAGAACTAAGTAATGATTTTTAAAGCATTTTGCAAACTCAAAAGATTCAAAGTAGTTTTATGGATATACTGTTTCAATGAAGTACATTTAACTTTATTGTCTTCAGTTTTTAGTGATAAAAAGTAGATTGAAATGGAATGAGATTTTTTTTTGTTTTTTGTTTTTTTGAGATAGAAATCTCACTGTGTCACCCTTGGTAGAGT